AGCAGGAAATATGGCATCCAAGGGATCCAAGGGAAGGTAAGGAAGAATATCACTGGCAGCAGTAAGCAGATGTAAGAAAGATATTCGTAGGACACGAAGGGACCGGCATATAGTGCAGGAAATATGGCGATTCGGGCATCCAAGGGAAGGTAAGGAAGAATATCACTGGCAGCAGTAAGCAGATGTAAGAAAGATATTCGTAGGACACGAAGGGACCCACTGCGTGGGCATATAGTTCCCCGAAGGTCACCATCAGCTTAATGAGGGAGCCGAGAGCGCCTCTGATTTCCTTATCGGCTATCTCGCCGATATACATCGGGCAGACAACATATACTACGCCTTGACCGATACCGCTAATAAAGCGAGAAGCATAGAGAATATAAGGATTCCATGCTATGATTATCATGATAAATCCGACAAACAGAGGTACACCAGCTATCAGTAAACTTATCTTCCGACCCAGCCAGTCGACAACGAAAGCTGCTAAAATGCATCCGGGTATGGTGCCCAAAAGGTAGAACGAAGCGATCCAAGAGGCATCGTCGGATGTTATCCGAACAGAGGAATTAGATGATTTCAGTATTGGTAAGGATGGTGACGTCCAGCCTATATGAGACCCGGCAATAGCCATCGATATGGTAGCTGCGATAAAATTAGATGAATGTGAATAATTGATATTACTTTTTTTTTTTTATTTGATTTCCCTATATATATTTTATTTGAAAAAAAATATTCTGAATCAGTCAAAGAATTTATAGACAGAGAGATTAATTAAACTTCTAGATTAGAGATAAACAGTCCAGATAAATTATTTTTACGTGTAAAAATATAAATGTAAGTTTCAGGAATAATTATGTAAAATATATTATATAGCATTTATAGAATATTTCTTTATTAGAACAAGCAGCGTTTAAAGTATTTGTTCTAATTTGATAAATCTTCTTACTTTTTTAGTAATCATGTGTTTAGCACTTCACACTGATAATATTAATTGTAGTTAGTATTAAAAACGAAATTCTCTTGATAATTTCCAAGTATATATTTAAATATAATTATTTAAATCGTAAATCTTTTTACATATAGAGAGCATTCAAAATTATAATATGACCTGCAAGAAGACAATTTCTTATAAAAAAATAGATCGAAAATGTGGAATAAAATTTTTTTTTAAATAAAAGTAATCTTGATACTTTTCAAATAATCTGTGTGTTCTTTAGTAATTCAAATTATTTTAGATTACGTTACTGAAAATAATGTTATTTTTATCTATTTATTAATAATTTTTATGTTGAAACCAATTTAGCAATATATAATACAAGAGATTATTATAGATTATTCAAGTTTAAAAAAGCATAAATATATTATTAATTTTCTTGAAATTAATTTTCTTAAAAACGTAGTTTTGTATGACAAAATTTCATTCTACGTTTTCAATTTATTTTTGCATCCGGGATCATTCTTTTCTCGGTTGTATCATAACTTCAAACCCATCCCGTAAAGCATCATTCACAATATTTGAAAATCTTATGCGCAAAACATTTTTATATCATTTATACTATTTTTTACAAAGTTAAAAATAGTTTAAATTTTATTTACCTGTAATTGCTGCTAAATACTGAGGCCAGCAATTGCGGAATTGTTCCATCTTTTATTTCTTCTTATTACAGGACTGAAATATGAACCAATTTACATTATCAGGAGAGTTTATATATAATTATGTTATAATTAAATATTATACAACATTATGAATGTGTGTACTGCTAATATAAAAATTGATGATATGGGTCAAAATTGATCTAAGATCCGCCGGCTGTCATACCATCCGAGGATTAAATATAATATCATACTCAGAGTAAAGCTTACAGTTAAAAAATTTATTATTTGAATTTATTTCTGCTTTAAGCGCTTCATATAAAAAAGTGTATCAAATTTTAATTTGATATTATGCTTACAGAAATAGCGATGAAACACAGAAAATGCTACCAGGAAAGACGACGAATGCCCAAGTCTGAGGACGCCCGGATTTTAATAAACCCACATTTCAGATGGAATGAATCGTATTTATGACGCTGTAGATTTTATATGTTACTTTATCAGTGCTTTCGTTATCAGCACTTCGTGCCAAACCTATCGTTGTCCCCACTTTTATGAGGGTCTTTGCCTGTCACTACTGTTAATTCTGTAGAGGAAGGATAGAATAAATATCAAGTTATATTTTTCTATACATACCACTTGTGCAAGCACTATTATGTGTTTGGTTGTTTGAATACAACATTATGAATGTGTGTACTGCTAATATAAAAATTGATGATATGGGTCAAAATTGATCTAAGATCCGCCGGCTGTCATACCATCCGAGGATTAAATATAATATCATACTCAGAGTAAAGCTTACAGTTAAAAAATTTATTATTTGAATTTATTTCTGCTTTAAGCGCTTCATATAAAAAAGTGTATCAAATTTTAATTTGATATTATGCTTACAGAAATAGCGATGAAACACAGAAAATGCTACCAGGAAAGACGACGAATGCCCAAGTCTGAGGACGCCCGGATTTTAATAAACCCACATTTCAGATGGAATGAATCGTATTTATGACGCTGTAGATTTTATATGTTACTTTATCAGTGCTTTCGTTATCAGCACTTCGTGCCAAACCTATCGTTGTCCCCACTTTTATGAGGGTCTTTGCCTGTCACTACTGTTAATTCTGTAGAGGAAGGATAGAATAAATATCAAGTTATATTTTTCTATACATACCACTTGTGCAAGCACTATTATGTGTTTGGTTGTTTGAAAAAAAAAAAAATTATTTAATTAACAGGAAAGCATAATAAAGGCAATTCTAAGTGAGGCAACACACGTATTCTGAAAAAGCACAGTATTATAGATATTATTTATTTTATCTTTCATAATAAGTATTATAAATATTATTTATTTTATTACACACACATAATATTATTTTTATTTTATCGTAGTATCCATGATTATTACGTAATTAATATAAAATACTTCACTGCATTAAAATATTTCATTAATTGTGTTAATAATTGTGGATGAAAGTTTATGGAATCTGGAAATAGGATTATCACGCTTTTGTTTCCTGCTACATAATGTAATAGGATTAATATCTTATGTTAATTAAAGAGAAAATCCTATACACACATAGAGTTATTTATAAACAATGGCTTTTCATTACAAGCCGCTGATTAATAATAACAAACATGCAACAACATTATATGCGTCTTGGTATTAGTAATTAATCATTTTAGCATTGCAACTGTGATATAACAGTCTCTTTAGGACTGTTGTCAATAATGAATGACAATAGTGGAGAACAATCGAAACATATAAAAGTACAATTATTATTTTTGCAATGCACATACGCACATACACACACACACAATTGCTGTCGACATGTTATTTATATAAACGGAGAATATAAAGTCTCTCTTGACAACGATTTGTGTATTTCAAATTATAAAAATTAAAGTCATTATAAATAAAAATGTCCTTTACGATAATTATCTATATCACTTGTTATTAAGTACACTGTAAAAAAGTCTATGTAAAGTAAAATTATATAGACAATAAATGTAATTCTGTAATATTTTTTTTACGATGTTAAGAGATTTATAATGATGTGCTATAATGATGTAATGATGATCAAATACGACTTGTATAATAAAATATACGATTTGTATAATAAAACTTTTGAATAAATTGGTAGCAATAGATGTATCTTCATGACAATGAATGATGTTTGTAAACTTTCTTTTTGAATCTGTTCTCTTGGCCACATTTAAATCAGATATATGACAATCGTTATCGTGTTTTGAAACTTTGATAGCTTATCGCAAACATGTCTTGCGCATCCATTACACATTTGCGTTCGTATATAGAAATGTTGTTTATGTAATTTGTATAAATGGAAAATTAAGTGTCTCTCTCGACAACTATTTGTGCTATTACAAATTATAATATATAAAAACACTGAATATCTTGCATTGAATCTATAAAATAACATCGTCAAAGAGTGCAATTGTCATTTTTTTATTTACTTAAAAATATTTTATTATCATTTTTCCATTTTTTCATAGCTTTTTTACTTTATTTTTCCCAAATAAATTGTTGTGTAATCGTAATAAAATCGTGTGATTTGTATTGCCGTTAAAGTCATTATAAAGTCATTAAAAGTTCTTTTTTGATAATTTTCTAAATCACTTGATATATATTGAGTATAGGAAGTTCTTAATGATGTACATAAAGCATAATGAAATTTCTTTGTAAATTATTAGAGATCAATAAACCTTCATCAATAATCATTGATGTTTGTAAACTTTCCTTTACAGTATCTTTTCTCCATCTTTAAATAACATGGCAATCTTTATTGTCTCGAAATCTTGATCACTTATCGCAAACGTGTACATATTATGCGCATCCTTTTGCAAACGTGGCGTATCACAAATTTTTGCGAAAACATGCATGCATCATCTGTTATAATTAGCTTGTAGAAAATGCATTGCGCATTTTTGCAATTTAGGCATTGTTAAATGTAAAAATTTTATGGTTGACTAACAGTATATTTTAGAAATTTTTACGTTGTAAAATAATAACTTCTATATTATGTCAGAGAATAGATTTGCAAATTAAATATTGTAAAAATAATAATATATATAAAAATAAAATAATAGAGTAAAAATTATAATTTTATATATACATATATCCTAATTTTTATATAGTTTATATTTTTATTTCGTGATAATTATGCTGAAAACATACAATTCTTATTGTTTATATGGACTGATATCTTACGATTATTTAAAGAGAGCGTTAATTAATTGTTACTTATAAATATTGAGATTAATAAGTAAAATTAAGAAGTCATATATTTCAATAATTATAGTCAATAATTGTTATAATTTTATATAAATTTAAAGTATATCAATTTGGTTAAAAAATAATAGTAGATATCACAAACATAAACAAATGTTCTAATGTAATTTTTTATGTTAATAAAATGGATTGAACTAGAATTTTCAAACAAAATGCAAATAGCTGCATGGCTGGAAACTGCATTTCAATATAGAATATGTTTACGCGTTATCTGCGTTCACGTCGTTAACGTTTAATCTACTCGAGTGTTGATGTGACACATTTACGACGTAAACGTTTGTCACTATGGTAAAACTTCGTGAGAAATAAATGCGACTATTTCATCAAAGAGATTGTATTCGTTCAGTGAGACACAAAACGAGACAAAAATTATTTTCCCATTTTCTTTATTGCATTCCTTTTTGACAGAAAATTAAATGGTAATATAAATACATTGATAAATAAATTAATAAACTAATTATTATTGCCTATAATGATTTAAAGGTTGAAGGAAGAGAAATTTAATCTCATTTTTTGCTTTTTCAAAGATATCAAAATTGAGATATTTATAAAATATATATCAAAGTCCAAATTTATTTATTGCTATCGCACATCATAGATTAATGATGCAAACGTTCACATAAGTGTAAACGTTTTCCCGGTTAGCGTCAGCATCAACGCTTGAAACCAGCACGATTTTGGCCAATTGCATCTTTTATCGACAATTTTATTATCATGGATAGATGCTAAAATCATTTCCGCGTGTCTTTGGAATGCAAATCAGAATTAATCTATGTCGTGTATCGATTTTAATTGTTGGCTTCCGCGAGCATGCCGTGCGTACTTACTGACGTTTGTGTTTCGCGCGTGATAGTCGCAAATCTATCGAGCGCATCGATCGTCGCCATCGCGCTGGTTCGGGCAGTCGCGAATTGTCTGCCATCGCGGGGACGTCGGTGTGCGTGTGAGATTAAAATTAAAGTGCGAATTTATTAATCGTGATTGCGCAGCACGTTATTCCTTCGTGTAAAGCTCGACGAGACTTCCGAGAGTCTCGTGCGTTGTGAATCGAGCCCGCGACGCGAGTCGACCGCGGCTGCAGGGATTCGACGAGGACAGCGAAGAACGGGCGCAGCCGAAGATGTGCGGCGGCTTTACGTGCTCCAAAAATGCGCTGACAGCACTCAACATTCTCTACATCGTAAGTAGATGAATCCTTCGCTTTAAGTACTCTCCGTGATTTACTCCTCCTCCTCCTCCTGGCTATCGTCCATCTGATCGTGCGTTTCTCGCTTCTCACTTTGATTTTTACAGGAAAGAATTTATATATATTTACGCGTTGCATAATTTATCGACTAATCTTGGGTGCACATTTACCGATTAAAGAGATGTTCCTATCTGTAAATTACAATCTTAACTCATATGTATATATATATATATATATATATATATATATGTGTGTGTGTGTGTGTGTGTGTGTGTATATGAGTGATCTATGAATCTATGTGATATGCATAAAGAGAGAGAAAGTTGATTTAATTATATTAATTTTTACATTGTGTGACGCTTCTTCTTGTCATTGATTATTAGATAATTGTATTAAGAATTATTAGTACGAATGTTGCAGTATTCGTGGAACTATGGATTTCTTTTATCAAATATGTTACTGTTACATTAATGTGCATAAGTAATTTTAAATGACGGTTATGGGATAATCTGCAGCTGAAAATTAGTATTCAAATTATGCACAAGTCTAATGTGTCAGCTTAAGATTATTTAACATTTATCATAAACAATGAATCATTTTTGTATCATGTTTTAGGATCATGATGGAAATTTTATCAATGACTATCTTTTCTTACAGGTTGTTGCCTTTATATTAATAGGAGTTGCCGTATATGGGAGGGCATCCGCCTTAGTTACAAACCTTCCTATTATTGGTGGCATTTTAGCATGCGGAGTGATCCTGTTTCTTATTTCCATTTTGGGCCTGATTGGTGCTGTTAAACACCATCAGGTTTTATTGTTCTTTGTATCCTTATCAAATTGTAATTTGATGTTAATTAGGCTCATAAGACAAGCATCAATCTTCTTATTTTGTTTATCTTTGTAGTTATGTCATTATCATATATCTAGTATTTGTAAAAAAAAAAATATTTGTTTAGTATATATTTTATCTTGTATAAAATATCTTGAAACTTTATAGTTACATCTCTATGTATTATTATTATCAATAACGTCTAATATATTTTATATAATTTTTTATTGAATAACAATATTGAATAATATATTCTCTATTTCTCTTCTCTCTCTCTCTCACTCAATAAAAAAAATGGATGTACAATTCCTTAATTAAAATTTATAGTACATGCTTATATTATTCCTTTTGTTCCTGATTCAATTCAGCATCGCCTGCGCTTGCCTCGCTGTCAACACTAAACAGCAAGAACAACTTGCTGAACAGGTAATTGTTGCACTCAAAAGGCATTGTAATTACATTATTCTAGAGATAAATATAATTTAATAATTATTTCTAGGGCTGGACACATGTTGAATCTGATTTAAAGGAAAAAGTTCAAACCACTTTTAATTGTTGCGGATTTAATGGTACCAGTGAAGATTCAACTATATCTTGTGATGATGTCAATGTAAGTACTTTGGAATAAATATATTTATTTAATAATCTAAACATTGTAATCTTTTACAGAAGGTTTGCTGTCAATCAATTGATACCAATTTAATGCCTTGTCCACCTTGTCCAACATGTATGCACAAACTGCAATCTACCATTGACTATGCATTTAAATTGTGCGGTAGCATAGGATTATTCTTTAGTTTTACGGAGGTAAGATTTTACAAACAATGTCATTATTTTTCATGTACATATATATTGCATTATTATTCAGAACACATAGAATATTATTTATTTAACATTTGGGAGTTTACCTAACTATAAGTGCTTTGATTACTGGTTACAATGAAAATTCTCATTTTGCTAATGCAATGTAACATGTGTGCCCGATTACAGTTTGTTGGTGTATGGTTGACCGTGAGGTACAGGAACCAGAAAGATCCACGAGCTAATCCTAGTGCTTTCCTCTAGTCTAACACCATCGCCATGTCCTCTGTCACTTCATATGATCCTCCTAACAGATGGTGGGTGGTTTCATAATGTTGGTTGTGGTCTTCTGATTTTTCTTTAGTGTTATAATTTTATCGATTCAAATATTCATATGCCAATATTCATTCATAATATTCTAAAAAATCTGTAAATTACATGTATATAATGCAGAGAAAGAGGGATCTCTTGACAAATTTTGTATTATATATTTTCTATTGTATTTTATGCGCGTGAATTTTCTGTGGACTTTATAAACTTAAACATTTTCAGGTGATTGCAGCTTTCTTGGCAAGACGTTATCGTAATCAATTAGATCCACAGGAAAAAGCTGCAAGAGCTATTTTTCCGCGACATGATTATTTATATTGATTCGACGATACATTTGAAAAAAATTAATAATCATTCTTTAATCTTCCTTTTTATTCATATTATTTCACATTACTTTTGTCGAGTATAAAGAGGACAAAAAAAATTAAAAATTAATTTCATTTTTGATTGCCCGTTTATATGTTACACAACATATTTTTCAAGGGCTAAAATTTAAATTTTATTTTTTAATACTAAAATAACTATATAGACATGTATAATGCTCAACAGAAATAATAGCTGGTTTTTTAACTGGGCAATCATAGATTTTAGAATGAGTTAGACGAATAATAACAAAAATGTGTGCTCTAGTCATACTGATTGTTAGAACATTCATAACAAGCCTCAATGCGCCTTGTAGTCTACAGATGGAAAACATTATGTAAGTATATTTCTATTAAATTTTGTTGCATTGTGTTTTCAACAACAGATAAAATGGAAGTCGGTAATGAAAATCTAGCATACTATCTCGTAATTATGCTGTTCGTAAGTATGCTAGTTCAAAATAAATCGGATATATCATAATATATTTAAAATTATCCTAAAAATATACGGATTGAGAAAAATGCTATAAGGAGATATGCAAATTAATTTTTTTTATATTTTTTTATGGAAGAGTATAGGTAATCATGGTAACAGCATAGATGATATAACATCCATGATCGTATCATAATCATATTTTTCTCTCCTATACATATATATGTATATGAAAATAACATCATATATTACATATTATATACGTAATTATTCAATAACATTTAGAAATTTATATATGTTCCAAACAAAAAAAAAATTTTTGTCATGTCCTCTTTGAGCACACTTTTAATTTTATAATATTTTTATGTCTAAAGAGATTATTTTTTATATTTCAAATTTTCAATAGTCTAATAATAAAGTATCTTCTGTTATATTGAAAAGTTTTAATCCCCAAATAATCAAAAAAAATTGTAATTATACTCTTACAAAATTCATATCTAATTTGGATGAAACTTGACTTATCTTTGGCAAGCATTGCAAATCTTTGGAAGTTTAATAGTCGTTCTTATTTCTTATGCTTTTATACATATATTTGTACATATGGATATTGTCAAACATATATTATAAAATTACTTAAAATATATATCGCATATGTATATGTATTAACAAATTATAGCTCACTAAAATACTGTCGATAGTATAAGCTTTGTCACATATATTTCAAGTTTCATCCACTGAAAATATTTAATACAAGTGCTTTGCTTGAGTAGAAATGCTACTCTGTTTGTGCATCTTAATAAAACTTATGCATAATATAAGCTGAATATTACATATCCTAAATAGCCTGGTGGGAAGTTATTGATGAACTTTATAATAGTCTCACACACACACTTTTTCTCGCATAATGCAGAATTCTTAATCCAAAACTTTTAAGCTTTCGCAGTTGTAAAAGAAGATATTTAAATTATTGTATCGAAAAATAATATTTATTATGGAAAATATCTTTTGAAAATAATATAAAATAATATCCTTCCAGGTTTTTTCGGACAATTTGCATAATAAAATCATAAATCTCTCTCTTTATGAGGAAGATGAATTTAATATGCATGAAAATAATATACGTTTACATCGTGCCCATTCTAGACATTAGAAAATATAGCATATTTTCTATCCAATCCCATTACGTAAGATGGGATGAATCTTGCTGTAGTTTTGTTTTTGTGAGTGTCTTTATCCGAGAGGCTATTAAAATAACAGTCATCGCTGTTCAATAGCGAATTGAAAAATTGTTGCTATGTGTTGTTATGTTTATTTAAAATTTTAAGAATATAATTAAATCAAATATTGTAAAAATATAATTAAATATAAACAGATTTTATAGAATTCGTTATTGAATAATAAAAGTATAGTTTAACGTGACGCACACGTTTGAAGATTCTTTTAATATTTAGAAAGTATTGTTTCGACAACTTTTTTTATGTATCGTTTTTTTAATGAATGATTGAATCTGCGCAAATTTTTAGAGTGGCAGTTATGTCTCACGAATTGTAGAGAGTAATTTGTGGATATATCTTTCGACAAGCGTAAAAATAAAATCTTGCGAACATTCCAATTTTTACGCGCCTCTGCCCGGCTTCGGTAGAAACGTGCATATATTTTATATGTACGGAATAGGGCTCGTGTTGTACACGCGAGATATGTACGGTAGCGTAATTCCTATATACATATTTTTATCTAAATATCGTATCATAATCACATTATATATATATATAAAATATATATTCGTAATTAGATTTAAATGATTAAGAAACGTATAACTCTAAGAACAATCGAAAGGAATTCGACGAAAATCACATATGAGAATGATTCGCATTCCTGTGTAACAGAAAAATGATGTTAGAGACATAATTATATTATCTATGTGTAATGCATTTTCTGAAATCAAAATCTGATACGTGCGAAAGGATTTAAATACCGACAATCTTAAAGGTGTGATGAAAATCATGTACATGTTGGTGATCAATGGAAATCATATTTGAATTATACTCGACTTATCTCCTTACATAAAAAAAAATGTCTTGATCCTATATGTACATCCTTTTAGAGATACATACGTGGAAATTCGAAATGTTGCAGACACACGCGTTCTATTCAGAATGTGAAATAAATGGAACTGATTGTAGTTTTCAAAGTTCATATATAAAATATATTTCAATAGAAGACAGATAGTTTCAAATGTTAAGCGCGTACGAAATTAAAAGAAAATTTTGATTGTAAAATAAGAAAAAAATATATGCTCTATTGCACTTGTGACACTAACAGAATATCAAACAGACTAAGTAATTGAGTCAATTGTTAGAACTTTCCACGTATAGTGATTGTGATAAATAAATAAAAGATGTCAATCTCTCAGATGTATATTTATTCAATGTTGCGTGAAAATATTTTTCTCTTGATGCATAATTCTTGAAATTTTGTCTAAAAATTATAAAACAAATATATGTTTTAATTTTTTTACGATTAATTTTTGCAATCAATAATAAAAATTATTTATATTTATCTTAAGATATGTAAAAATAAATATACACATACACTAGAGTTCATTCACCCGGTTACGTTGTCGATTATTTAACGCAGGTTAACGACCATCGATCTCGAGCAGCCAACGTCCATCGATTCATGCTATCGATTCTCTTTCTCCATCCCTCCTAAAAAATAAAAATGGCCACCATATCGCATTCGGATTGTGCGTAATACGTGTCCCGCCGTGTTGATAAACAAGCGCGATAAAACGGCTTCGTCGACGAGGAGGGTTGTGGTTAATCATCTTCGAGATCCCGCATATCTATCTAAGAGGAGAGACGCACATCAACGACGGCGTCGACGACGGAATTGTTAAGGGAAGGCGCGACGGCCCTGGCCGGAGAGGAGCAGCGTCCACGAGCTCGCAACGAGGACGAGCGCGGCAACGGTGAGGTTATGGACAACTTCGTGAAGATCGAGAAGATAGGGGAGGGAACGTATGGAGTTGTCTATAAGGCCAGGGACAAGCTCACCGGGAAGCTGGTGGCGCTCAAGAAGATTCGATTAGAGACGTACGTCGCTTTACGCATCTATCCCGCTTCCTTCATCTCATTAGGATGTCACTATGTGTTTTTAAACATGCCAGGGTGAATCATGAATTCTGACTCTGACAAATGAAATTCCGCGAAACTTTCCCCGGGAAAACGTTTGGGTCAGAGACGCATCTCTTCGAAATTTTTTAATGAATCTTTTTATAATAATCTTGTTATAAATGTGTTGTGTTAGAAATTTGGCAGAATATTTTTGGATAAAGGAACGTGTACATATAAGCATCACAATGGGAAATTGTTGAGTTAATTGTCAAATTTTTCAAGAAATTTGCTGTATTGTACCCTTAATGATCTTCTTGTCATTGATTGTGAAGTGTATCTTAAAATAGAGGAATAATGTACACAAAGTACTTTTTCTTATACCTTTAATGAAAAGTAATTAACTTCTTTAATTTAATTATTAATTTATTGTACTTGCTTGTTTTGGAGGAAAGCATATGTTTCTTCTTTTTATAATATTCTTTGATTTATTTAGATCCAGACTCATATAGCATTTGATCATTAAGAGCTTTCATTAATCTAGCGCAGAATTTCCATAACTACTATTAATATCTGCTGTTTTTGATGCTTGATAACATTTTAATAAAAAGTACACACTTTACATTCTTAACTTATATATAAGTTGTATATAAAAACATCAATTTCGAAGATTGTAAACATAAGGATATTTGAAAATTATTTTAACAAGAAATCTTCTTTGCCAAATTTTGGAAAATTTGTATCATTGTATCTTTTTGTGTATATATATATATAAGCGGGTTATAATATTAATTATCTCTAACTTATACATAAACCCATAAGCATGTTTCAATACCCTAATTTTAGATATTTGATAATGTATCCCCACAAATTTTAATAGCCAATTTTTCGATAAGATATAAATGTTGATTAACTTAATTGATATGGTAAAATTAATTTCGGCCTTTATCTATATATGTTGAAAATTATCAGTTTGCAGAACTGCAATATCAGCTGGGCTTTTTGCTTGTGCACACTGCTAACACACTGCTAACAACCTGCATATTGGGGTCAGCTGAATCTGCGGGGGCCACGTTACACTAATTTTCGTAGCACCACATTATTCAGCTTGTCCCATTATGCTATGCTCGCCTGGTTTTTTATTTGGTATTTTTTATGTGATACATTATGTAATTTTATAATAATTTAATAAGACATGTTTTTCTTATTAGAATTATTTTTGGGATAAGAACATACATATATATATCTATATATATTTCTTACAATCTCACTAGAGATAACAGTTTTTCTTGGGAAGGATTAACAGAAATTAACAGAATTGCTTTTATGTTGTTATACAATATGTGTTTTCCACTTTGATGTTCTAAATATTGTGTTTATTGTAAATGTTTATAATCAATTCGTGAGTGTAATTGATTTGAATGAGAAATATCGGTACTGTTAAAAAAAACAAAAGAAAACTTTTCTATAAAGATATTTTTTAGTATTTTAAAATCAGGTATAGTCATGCACATTTTTGTTTAATTAGTGTTTCTTTAAATCATGGAAAGAGAAGGCGTCCCGTCTACCGCTATACGAGAGATATCGTTATTGAAAGACCTCGCACATCCAAACATCATACAATTGTTCGATGTCGTAGACGGTAACAACCATCTATACCTCGTTTTTGAATTTCTGCAGCAGGATCTCAAAAAGTTGCTTGACTCCGTTAAAGGAGGTTTAGAACCAGCGCTCGTCAAGGTATCGGATCGGGGATACATACACATTTATAGATTCGATGCTAGTAGTACGTGTGCATTTTAAGACGAGTTGGTTTTGCATTGTGTTACAGAGTTATCTCTACCAATTATTGAAAGCAATTTCGTTTTGTCATCTCCGTTGTATATTGCACAGAGATTTAAAACCGCAGAATCTATTGATAGATCGAGAAGGTCATATAAAATTGGCCGATTTCGGATTAGCCAGAATGATCGGCGTTCCCGTGCGAACTTATACGCACGAGGTTGTCACGCTTTGGTATCGGGCACCGGAAGTGCTTTTAGGAACCAAATTGTACACTTGCGCGCTGGATATATGGAGTCTTGGCTGTATATTCGCCGAAATGGTACGTGAAAACTGCGCGAAAGCACGTTGTATCGCGTATATAATCATAGTTTTTTTACGAGACAATACGATCTTTATAGGCAACTAGGAGAGCTCTATTTCCCGGCGACTCCGAGATAGATCAATTGTTTAGGATATTTCGCATGCTCGGTACGCCAGACGAAACAATCTGGCCAGGAGTGACTCAGCTTCCGGATTATACATCCAGATTTCCGAGATGGGATGCGAATAATTTAGGCGACGTTTTGCCCACTTTCGATGACGATGCCAAAGATTTAATTTCAGTAAGGATAGAGAAAAAGCTTTATTTCGCCGAAGCGCTCATTGGGATTCATGTTTTTTTTTATGTTTGTAGAATATGCTGACATACGATCCTAATCAGAGGATAACGGCAAGAAAAGGATTGAGTCATCCTTATTTCGTTGGAGTTAAATTAATTCCACCTCCACTGCCAAAGAAAAACTGACATAGGTTTATGACCAACTGACGTGTACTGTATTTACATAGGTTTTTATATAAAACTCGATTAAACGCAAAATAATTTTGCAAGGAGATAACTTTGTACTGCAAGTGTGTTCAATTATATATGAAACGATATAGTTTAAATATATATATATATATTTTTACTTCTCTATAAATCTCATATATATTAATTTTTTCCTCGCTTTATTTTCCATATTTCCTTTTAATTTCCCACTCATTGCAATATATATGCGCATATTTAAATTATATTTTTCAAACATTATAATATATCTTTTTTACTTCTCCATGTATTTTCGAAAGTTGCACGATATTAAGCATAGAAGTTATTGGTTCATAAACAAATTGTTAAGGATATTTTATAAAAAAATTTATAATCAAAAAATATTTTTTTGAGAATTATTCATATATACTACTGATTTTTATTAAAAATAAAATAATAAATGAATATTAGAAATATTTGTGACATAAAAATAATATCGCGTTAATAATTAACAAAGGTCAGTGATATATCTATCTGGCACTTTTGTTTCCAACACCCGTTAAAAGTTAATCTTCCATACGGTGGAAGATACGGGGTTGGAAAAATTAACGATTTAGTTGGGAAAATATAAGACTTGCAAAGAAGATCAAGTCCTTATTCCGTTTTGCCATGAATTATCAGTTTACTTTCGAATCGAATCTATTAATATTTGATTAAGAGATTATTTCTCTCTTTCTCTCTATGATAGAAAAATTTACTTTTTTAAACTTTTATATTAGAATTATATTAGTCAATAAAAAGAAAACATCTACTCTGGCAAGTATAATTTTTTACTGATTTTCTACTGTTATTTGTTCTCTAAATTATTACTTTTTGCACTCACTTTCATAAAATGTACAAGATGCTCCAAGCATCCTTGCATTTGCTTTTATATACGAGATACGAGTTTATGAGTTAATTTGAAGTAATTTTTTTCTGAATATAAAAATATTGAGACGTCAATAGATTTTATATTTACGAGAGATTAAGTTCTAGAACTATAAACAAATAAAAATATTTTACTTTAAAAAAGTTGTGACAAAAACTCAGATTTTTTTAAAGAAAAATCGATTTCCAATGGATCGAAAAAAGCGGCAGAAAGAAAATGCGAGTTATCTGAGATATCTTGTGCTAACATAAGTGCTAGAAAGCCTGTCGTATTTTTTATTCTAATACGCCATTCGGGCAGCTTTCGAGGATGGTTCGATCAGTTTGGGTAAAGTAATTTTCGAGTGAGTTTCGGGAGCTGCTGGACTTGCTTCTTGTGGTATCGGCGAAGATGCGAGTTTCGGAAGACGCAACTCTCTGGGCGACGGGCTTTTTCTCGGTGTGCCGGAAGATGTTTTGCTAGGTGTGCCGGGAGACGTTTTGCTAGGTGTGCCGGGAGACGTCTTACTAGGTGTGCCGGGAGACGTCTTGCTAGATGTGCCGGGAGACGTTTTGCCCGGTGTACCGGGGGATGTTTTTCTAGGAGTGTTGGGGGAGGACTTATCGTTGGCGGATTTAACGCGCAAGCTGCTGGGTGGACGCGGGGCGGTTGGCGAGCGACCCTTCGGTGTGTTTCTGTCATTCGTCGCATCTGGCGAGGGTGTTTTGGATGCTCGTCCGTTCGCGAGGGTTAGACCCTCCGTCTCTTGCACGAGTTGCCTTCTGGGCGTTGTGGATTCCGGAGATTTGGCCAAACCGCTTCTAACGGCTCGGGGTGTTACAATGGACGAGGGTGATGTGACGCCACGTGCTTTGGTCGGCGTGGAGGGTGGCGGTTGAGGCTGGAGTATCTCATTGTCGCCCATTTTTGAATCGTTTGGAAAGTGGCGATCATTCACGGGAGTCTCAGGCTGGAATTGTGACGATAATTTATTTTTAAACATTCGATAAGTGGAAAACACAATGCACTTGGATAATTTAATGTATTCGGATGCATCTAGTAATGTACATTGATTATTCAGTGAGCTCTAATACTGGATGCATCCCTCTTGTTACCAAAAATTACATAGTGTGTGCAGACTGACCTCTTGACTGGCAGGCGGTGAGTGATGGCGATGCTTTTGCAGACCTTGGAGGTGAATTGTGAGGGTGATTCACACGCTGTGCGTATTATCCTTTTAAAGTGGTAAGTTTTCTAAAATACGTCTAAATAGACATTGGTAAGGAAGGATTGAGGATTTTCGTGATTGCTGGTACCGTTCGTGCCAAACTTCAGCAAGGATTAGTTTTAGGATCGTGTCTATATCGATATTAAATCTTCGCGATGTAAATCTCTCTTGCACGAAGTAATTAATTTTGAAAGAACTGACAGGTTCTGCAAAGTTGAATTTCTCATCTTTGAAACGGTAATTAAATCTGAGCTTATTATGTCCTAAATGCACACACAATATGAGAAAAGAAATATGTTATAAAAGACTTCATTAGAAGATATGTATTCTTTTATCTCTTTTTCTGTATTATTATAATACACACAAAGAGTATTAAATTTAATTCTAAAAATAAAGACTAATTTCATAAATGATATAAATGTCCGCTAGTCAGTTTTAATTAATTTATTTTTTTTTAAGAACTTTTGTCGCGGGACATTACAAATTAAAGAATCTATGGACAACTTTGATGGAACCTTTTTAATAAAATATGGACAAAAGTCTTACTCCTGGATGTTACCCATCGCGTGACGACGATTATACGTATTTTTATATGTATGTTTTATATCTGGCAATAGACATTTGCGGCTAAATTGCATTCTACATACTGCGGCTAAATTGCATTCTACATATATTTTTTTTATAAAGATAAAAGGGGACGCAGCCATTTGTTTAACGAGATCGGAGGATGCGTTCGGCGGGAGCGTTGAGAAATAAAGAACGAAAATGTAAATTTAAAAACAAAAATATTATTATAATACCTCTCCAGCAATCATAGTCCAGGATACGCTGGATAATTGTTACACTATTGCGTTCGTACGAAGTGGTAACTCGTGACAATTACGACAATTAATTTAATGTTAATTATCATTATGTCTCCGTGAAGTGTCGCACAATATGTTAATTGAATCAAATAGTATCTCTTAATAATTCATGTGGAAGCAATATAGTGTAAATAATGTGTTATACATATCTCTCTTTCTTTCCTTCTCTCTTTCTAGCAACGTGTAAATTGTACGAGGTACCTAAAGGTAGTAGTGACGTAAGTGAGAGATTTCTATTTTTGGCGTGATCTCGCGCGACTCGGACATTTTTCATCATCGATCTCTCTTCTCCGTCGACGTACACTCATCATTATCATTCCCCAGATGCTTACGCATCAGGGGTGTTACGTTATATATTCGTAGAGGGTGTAACGGGATAGCGTATGTATCGATTACGTATCTACAATAAGGTTTACACGAATATTTCGTATATTCTGTCGTCTCTCTACAAGCGCAATCTGTAATCAGCCCCGTGTATTTAGACGGGTGTCTCGCGCGGATTCGACGCGATTCACCCGCGTGTTAAACGCGGCTCCTTCTCTATCTTCTGGCACTTTTCCTTTTACCCGAAACTCTAACTCAATCTCTCTCGGCCGCGTTGCACCGAATTAATTTTAATTAACTTGATAACTCCGCGTGAAAAGCTCCGTGCGATACAGATTTCGCGATCCCCCTCTTTATCGTAACCGCGGCCGTAATGTAGATAGAGCGGAAAAGCTACAGAGTTATTTAACGATTAATGGACTATTAGTGCAACGCGTTGGCTCTCTCGTGATCCATTCTACGTCGATCGAGATTGCTGTCTGTGTTGTAGTCTCTCGTCTCTTCAGAAATCATCAGATCGATCACGTCGAACGAAAATTATATCTTGCGGTAACTACGCACCGTCGTTCGCGATTCAATTATCCGATGTCGCTGCATGACGGTGAAATACGACATATATAATGCGTGATACCGAGGCGCATTGGTTGTTAAGACTTCCTCACGTGAAAATTAATATATGTTTTTTTTTTCTAAAACGTCTATTTCCCTTAAGAGGACGTGCACGTGATGGTACTTTTCCTACGTTAACAATGACGCACGAATTTGTGATTGTTGTACTTTCATTTTTTATTTACGTGTAAAGAAATAAATAAGAGACTATAGCGATATCGTGAATTAAATAAAATGAGAATAAAAAATAAAACAGTATCATACCCGCTATATATTAGATACCGTCAGCGATACTGTAAATTGAATAACAAAGATTCAAGATGACATTATATTCGCGTTTTTCGTATGATAAGAAATTTGAATTTGTTTATATAGTTTGACTCGTTTTACGTCGATACGTTTCTTATTCTTATCGTGTATTATTGATTTAACTTCTTAAGCGATTATACCGTACTATGCGTGATCCATTGCAATAGATTATGAATGTATCATTGCAGCCTGATATACGTGATAATAGTAAACTCGTGATGCATCGTAATATCAGTTTTTTATGGCACACAAATGCGTATCAAAAATCGATAACTTGCAAATATTCGTATTTACGTAGTAACGGCGGACGCATAAAAGAGACGTCGGTATTAACGATTAAGAAAATCGCAAGAAGGAGCTGTATGACAAGAATTTAACGCTCGACAGAGAAAGCCATTACTTAAGAAAAATAAAGAGTTTGCATGTGAAAATTGTTTTTTAAATCTCCCTTTTTTCCTTTACTGCTATATATTAATAAAAATTCTTTTCAGTCATTTTTCGCATCTCTTGCGTGTTTCATGATTTACGTATTTACGTAATAAAAGAGATGTTATTATGTATGATACGATAAATATATTACGAAGATATATTATGTGTGTGTGTGTGTATTATAGAATATTTCTTTTTTTTATCATGACTTATTCATTTGTTTTTTTTTTTTTTTTCTAAAGATTTTTTTTTCATGACTTTTTTATTTTTTTTTTTTTTTTTTTTTCTAAAGACCACTAAAAGTTGCTGCAAATGCAGGATAAGATGCACACTTGGAATTCGCGCTCGACTTAACAACAAATCAATGCGATAACGTATATTGCTTTGTTCGTTGATTAAGTTCGCCCGTCGCGAAAAATTCCGTCACTCGCGGGTAGACGAGAGATATCGATCGCAATGCTCCATTTTACCGAGGAGTTCCGTGCGCCGTTTTGTCTCAATATCGCTCTCGATCAGGCGCGTGCGAGGACCGCGCTCGTTCGTCCTCTAAAGGGGGTTGAATAGGTAAACATGATTAATCGTATGCAAATGATATAGTTAAAGCGGGTCTATCGGCCGACTTTTCGTGACCTAGCATTCCTGGTTCAGGTTCTCGTCCGAGGCTGGCAGGCCATTCTTGCCGGAGTTGGTGATCGCGCCGGAGGGCACGGGGCTCTGCGGGCACAAGACATCAGGATTAAGCCTGCAGCATCCTTACGAATTGTGTAAATTGACTAGATAAATATCCCTCTTTTAATCCCATCGTAGATAATCTAATCCCGTCAATATTGTCATTAAACATTATTCTAATAATTCAATTAGATAATGTTTCAACAATGTGTGCCGTTTTATTTCATGCGGCTTATCCTGATTAATGCGCATTAGTCGATTTAGGATCGATTTTTTTGACATTAATTAATTTTAATCGTAATTTATCAACTGGTTCTGCACAGTCTTTTCTTTTCTGTCTTGTTAAAAATAAAATTTAGAGAGTTAACTAACAGATAGTAGTTGTTCTACAGTTAATCTTGCTCATTTTTGCGGCGCAGATAATCTGCTTTATGAAGATTGTAATTTCACGATAGGCGCACTTTTGCGAAGGTAACAACCAGTAGAAATAGTATCAGTAGAATGTAATTTTAAAAATAAGAGAGAAAGGCATTGAAGAAAGCGTTATACATTCGTATTCCTGTAAGAATGGATGCAAAAATCAGCCTAATCAGTGGACGATTTTGTCCTTTCGCAAAATAAAATTTGTAACTAAAGTGAATCAATAAACTCTAATTCCTAAAATAGCTAAATATCCTACAAACTCTATGTTTCGCGAATATTGTTTTATTTACATATTTATTTTTGTGACATATTATTTATCTATAGGTGTAGGTCCATGATATTGAGCGTGTGCTGTATTGCGAAGACGCATGCAACGCGTGTTTAAGCAACGTGATGCACAAATGTTATATGCGAAAAATCTCGAGAAGCAATATCATCTTATTGAACTAGAATTTTTCATTATCGCGATGTGTTCCACCAAAAATTGTGAAAAGAACACGTCGGAGCGTCCGTCGCGTGCAAAAGTCGGAAAGAATTTTGTGACAAAATTATTCTCAAGACTTTTTATATTTTGCACACATACCTGAGATCCGCTACCGTTCAAGCTTTCCACGTTGGAACTCGTTTGCCGAAGATAGTCTCTATCGTTGAAAATCTTTTTTTCGCCACCGCCCGGCTTATGCTTCACATTGTCCATTGAACCGATCTTACTTTCGGCCTTGATATCTATTTTTTGCGTCGGGATCTGAAAGAAGGTACGACACGCCATATTATTTGTCCGTTGATAAAATCCTATTTAATAAGCGATTAGAGGAGACAGTGGAAATAAAAAAAAAAAGCTGAAAAATAAGAGATTTTTTACATTTTTGTTTTTCAAATAGTCGAACAAACAGTAATATAATATATTTCTTTTTCATTTACGATATATTTGCTGGCTCAATATAATTAAGAATGGGTTAAAAGCGCGATATATGTATATAACAGAAAGTAAATGATATTGAACTGAAGAGTCTAAAATCTAAATATATAAATTTGGAAACATGCAAAAACATGCTTAAATTTTCCATCCAATGTATACATTTTACTTACGTCTATATCCAGCGATATAGATAGAACTTTACCGATTGCAAAGTAATGATAAGCACATTTTCGTATCTCGTAAATCGTGGAAGTAAACTGGCCGCGATCTATTACACTGATTATAAATAGCGATTTCCAGGGAAGATTATTGACGTACGCGATATATGCAGACGCGTTTTTATTTAATCGTGTTTGTTTTTTTACGTGTATTGATTTTACCTCCACGATTTCGCGATGAAATACAAGAAATTAATTTTTGGCCTTTCAAGATGTCACAATCAGACGAAGGCCAGACCAGATGGATGAAAACACGGGATGAAGAAAAAGATATAGAAAGCGACACATTTATGGTATGCATAATTCGTACACTATTCCGTTAGCTGTGTATAACGTACTTACGTCGTTCTTCGTTTCCTGCGGTGTCTTAGGTGGAGTCGCAGACTGAACACCAAAAAATAACAATGACTTGTTAATAATGACAAGAGACGACACATGCATACGAATTAGTACAATTCAGTACAAGTCATTTTGTAGCTTCCAATGGCAATATTTTTTGATTCGAACTTTAAAGTCATCAACGAATTCATATGCGATAGAATCGACAAACCATATATTATTCTTGGTCTAGAAATTTGGACGCTTGTAAAGTAAAATTAATAAATTCCAAGTTGTGTGTGGATCATTGGATTATTCAACCTGAAAACTTATTAACTTCGCTTTAAAGTATGAATTGTCCGCATATCCGAAATAGCATTCCGCATGCAATTCATTCAATGAAATTTAAATAATGTATTACTGAATAATTATCTTAGATGCTTTTGTGGCATAATGAACGAAGCGAGCATTGCATTTGTAATGGATTCTATTCCAATGAAGCCATCTGCAATTAATGAAGAAGTAATATTTGCGTAAATATAAGAATTTATATGCAATGATCTATAGTAATAAACAGCAGCTGTATTACTCCTCCGTCCAGATAATTATAAAATATGTACTAACGGTAAAAATATTAATTAAAATGTAAATGTAAAGGCATACATATAACTGCATGCGTTAAGTTACTAATGATTATTTCCAAACTTAATTGTTTTTAAATATGATGCAAAAATGATATGGTTACATGCTAATATTATTAATTAAAGCATAAAAATAAAAGATGATAATGCTTTATATTTCAACTAGGGATCTCGATTAAAGGATTCTTACTAAACGATTCTTTGCATAAGAACGTATCATAAAAAAATAAGAAAGTGATTAATATATTTGGTTATATAACTGGTTGCAATAAACATTGGTTTTTAAACTACAGATTGTAAATACGTAATCAAATTCTCGAGCAGTGGGTCTCACCTTAACGGCGCCGCCACCAGGAATATGTTTCGCATTTTCTTTGGATCCGACTTTAGGTTTCGCCTTGTCTTTGAAATCGAGTTTTACCGTCTCGATTTTCTTGTCACCACCGCCTGGCTTGTAAGTTGCATTTTCCAAGGAGCCGACCTTGGGCTTAGCATTCCATTGAAGTTTTACTTGAGAGATCTACGATTGAAAAATTTGACGATAGTTATAGTCAATATCTTCTCAATGTATTGTATAATACTTCTAAACGTATGTCAATAAGAAAAAAAAACAAAGATATTTTAATAAAAAAGTATATATTATTGTTAATAAATTAATTAATTTAATAATGATTTCGAAAGGGATGAACCTTTTTGTCGCCACCGCTAGGCATGTATTTATCATTCTTCGCGGCGATTTTCGGTTGCGCTTTGCTGAAGTCCAGCTTCCTGTTCTCTATCTTCACCTTGCCGCCGCCCGGTTTATAACTCGCGTTGTCCAGAGAACCGATTTTCGATCGCACAGTCTTCAGATTCGGGGAAGGCGCAGCGCCAACTTGAACTTTGTTCATCGGTACTTCTGTATGATTAGAAGATACACGGTTATTGGAACAGATGTTACGTTAGTGAAGTAAAGTTTGACTTTTTAAATATTTTTCTTACTCTAATTCTTTCTAGGGCATTCAGTCCAATTTCTCAGCGATGTAAAAGAGATGCGATTATATTTATATAAAACCAGGACTATACGTCGGAATTATTAGGCTATTAATCAAACGTCTTACTGTGTCGAGATGGCGTGACATAAGATTTTGCTCACATGAGATATAGGTCAGTCCGTTGTTAAATTAACGAAACAAAAACTACTTACTTTTTTTCTCCTGGGCAGTTGACGAAGGCGTGTCGGGAGTTCGCGGTAATGATTTAACAGATTTGCTAGGTGATTTCGTAGGCGATCCAGCCGTCGATCTCTTGTCGCTTTCTTTAGATCTTTTGGTTGGCGATTCTGCTACTCCATTTGCAGTCGATGCCTATTTGGAATAATTTGAAAATTCGTCGTGAAAGAAAATAATACTTTTGATATGTCGTATGATATATAAGAATTGTGGAAAAAGGCAGAGAATAAGTGTAACGTAAGATATTTACCGCATTAGCTTGCGATTCGCTGCCATTTTGAATCGCTGTGGAAAGAAAAATAATATATTAATACATCGCAATGATTAATTGGAGGCATGCATACGACAGAGCTGTGTCGCACCGAAGCAAAATCTCGATAATCTCGAATACAGAAGTAGTAGTAATCAATAAAGTTGTAATAATCAAGTTTCTTATAAATCAATTTGTTTCAAATACGTATATTATAGAAATATAGAAATATAGTTTCTTGTATAAAATTAATTTTATAGTGAAATCTATATATCGTATATTTTAATATTAAATTTGCCGAATTAAAAGACGGAAAAATAGTGCGCTTGAATTTTTCTTAACGAGTAAATACAGACAAATCGAACGAACTGATGTTCGCGAAGCGAACGAATTAATGTTTCGTATTCATGTTTCGCCTTTTATTCCGCGCGTAAACACAAGAACCTTTTTTCTTCGGAGACTTTTTCTCGTCGTCCGGTTTCGCCGGTGTTTGCGGATGTGGAGTTTTGGTCGTTGGAGCGGTAGACTTCGACGGAGATGTTGCAGTCAGGATCGGTTCCGTGTCCGCTATTTCTACCGATTTCTTGACGGTGGTTTCGACAAAGGACGTTTTCTTTTTCTTCTCAGCCTCTGTCTGTTTTGCGGGTGATTTCGGAGACTTCGACAATCGAGGGCTACCGCCGGAAGATAACGACCTTTGTTCCCCGTTATCGAAGCCCTTCACGCCTTCAGGCGATCTTGGCGAGATTACTGACCCCGCTATCGATAATTTACCTTGACCCTCCGGTATCGTAGGTGATCTCGGTGATTTCGGTGACGACTTGCCGTCTTTGCCGATCGCTGAGTTAGGCGAACGCAAGGTAGACGAGGCCGGTCTGCTGGACTCTCTCACTTGTAGAGTATCTTTGCCAGATTTGTCGTGCTGTGGATTCTCAATGGAAGTTTCGCCATCACTCGATTCTATTCCGGCTGGCGTGCTCGAGCGCGACTTGTCGGACACCTTTGTCGGGGTTAGATGCGGTTCTTTCTCCGCATTTGGAGATGGTGCCAGTTGAGCAGCTGGAGTACTCGCGCGCGAATACTTATCCGGCGTTTTCGATTCTTGTTCCGCGTTTCCAGGCGGCTCCGATCCGGCTGGAGTATTTGCGCGCGACTTATCCGGCGTCTTTATAGGCGCTTTTGATTCTTGTTCCGCATTTCCAAGCAGCTGCGATTCGGCTGGAGTATTCGCGCGCGACTTATCCGGCGTCTTGATAGGCGCTTTTGATTCTTGTTCCGCATTTCCAAGCAGCTGCGATTCGGCTGGAGTATTCGCGCGCGACTTATCCGGCGTTTTGATAGGCGTTTTTGATTCTTGTTCCACATTTCCAAGCAGCTGCGGTTCGGCTGGAGTATTCGCGCGCGACTTATCCGGTGTCTTGATCGGTGTTTTTGATTCTTGTTCCGCATTTCCAAGCAGCTGCGATTCGGCTGGGGTATTCGCGCGCGACTTATCCGGCGTCTTCATCGGCGTTTTTGATTCTTGTTCCGCATTTCCAAGCAGCTGCAATTCGGCTGGGGTATTCGCGCGCGACTTATCCGGCGTCTTGATCAACGTTTTCGATTCCTGTTCCGCATTTCCGTGAGGCTCCAATCCTGCCGGAGTGCTGGAACGCGACTTATCGGGAGTTTTATTCTGCTCCGCGTTTTCGGGTGCGTCCAGGTGCGCCGGGGTGCTGGAACGTGACATGTCCGAGGTCCTGGATGGAGTCCTCGATATTGCCTGTTCTGCGTTCTGAGGCGTGTCCAGATAAGATGGTGTGATAGAACGCGAATTGTCGGAAGATTTTGGAGGAGTCTTCAAGCTCTGTTCAATGTTCCCGAATGCATTATCGTTATACGGACTGCTTGGCTTTTGAATTTCTTCAATTTCTTCAATTAGTTCGGATGGCAACATACCGCTCGGTGGTCGAGATGTTTTATTATTCATTAAGTCGTCGACGAGCAGTACATTTACTTCATCTCTTGTAAAATCTTCCGTCAAATTCTCGACAATATCAATCTCTTTACTTGATGGGGGTCTGCTAAAGAGTTTTTCGTCTTTTCTTTCTTCTTTATCATCATTTACTGCAGAGGAAGGTCTGCTTTGAGAAATTATCGATGCCGTATCCTCAGCAAATTCTTTCGATATTTTATCATGATATTTACTCGGTTTTTCGATAGTGGCCGTTCCTGGTCGGATCATGGGTTTTGTTGGGATTGAGGGTGACTTAGAGCCGTTTACCAGTCCCTCGGGAACACCATCCTGATTGTGTCGCAGTGACTTCTCGTTATCCATCACGACATCGTCATCGTCGTCATTTTCACCGTTTTCATGGACGTCAGACTTCTTTCTCTGTAGATAACTCTCTGGTTTATCAACGTTGGTCTCGTTTATATCCGCCATTTTTTCGATGACAATGCGCGGTCGTGTCGGCTGCTTGATCTCCTCGTTTGACGAAAGATGCTGTCGTTGCAGGCTCAGCAATGAGTCATTTCTCAGTAACTGCCTGGGGAAAACGGATTCTTGACTAGGTCGTCGCGGCCCGTTTTCGGGCGCGATATCAGGTCGTTGAAATCGCGGATCGTTGCTGCCTCGCTGCTGCTGCTGCTGTTGTTGCTGCTGTTGCACCTGATACACCTGCTGATTACCGGCGAAGGGTGGTCGTTGACCTCCTGCACCTTGCGGTGGGGGACCGCGGATCCCCGGGGAGTACACGAAACGTTGATTCGAGGGATACAGCGGATTCTGCGGAGACAGTTGACCGGGTTGCAGTGACCTTGGAGGGAAGGAGCTCCCTGGTGGTCTCGGCGGACCGTAAGGTCTATGCTGTACGAATTGACCCGAGGCCGGCGACGGACCTAAGGAAGAACGACTGTCCAATCGGCGTAATGGTTGTCCCGGTCGAGGTGCGCCTATGGGACCATTATTTATCGAATTTCTGGGAGACGGTGGCGGACCTTGCGGTCTCGCCTGAAAGCCTTGCGGTGGTGAAAGAACGTTTGGCTTCACCTGCGGAAGAATAGCTCGTGTCGCGTATACTTGCACAAGAACATGTGCTCGACGGTGATTTGCTATGATAAATCAATTTTATAAAGAACCGATGAGCTTGTAGAGATAGTTCTGATGCATTTGCGCTATATCTTAAGTCAATAAAGTTCGTTTTTAATTCTAGAATTACAATTGTACGAGAATCCACATCATACTATTTTGTTCAAAGACAGATATGGAGTATTTAATTTTCATGAATACAATTAATTTAATTCATGAAATTAAATTTTTTAATTTAATTTCATGAATGCGAATAAACTTATGAGTATAATTATTCTTGGTTTCCTATTTACGTTTTATGTGTGTTGCTAATATTATTTTTTTTCATTAGACAGATTTATGAATAAGCTATACTATTTTAACTCTCGAAATTTTGATATATTATGTATATATAAATACCATACCCCGTTGTTTTTTGGCATCGAAAACATGCTCGCAACGTGATTATAATCCGATTTTTAATCTCGAACAATATCGCCACATGAAGAAACGAAACTGAAGGTTATCAGTGCAACATAGTAAATTGCGATCGACAGTATTAACCCTGACCTTAGGCCCATCGATCTTTTTGTCGCGTTACGATTCGAATTGCAAACTGCATTGTGTACAGACATTTGCTTAATTCCCTGTGTTATCCGAACCGTTAACTTACGACACGGGTCTACCGTTGACTTTCTCGGCGTTATTTTGCATAACGCGTCTGAACAACGTTAAACATCCTTCGCTGTCATCATCGTATTTTCAATTCAATTTAGTTAATTTATAACATGTGACATTTCGTGTTGCGAGCTAATCCGCACAAAGATAACATCGTATTTTGTACGATGATAACAATGTAGAAATCGCGCAAAAGAGGGACTAGAGAGAGACACCGATGGCAGTCGAAATTTGTGATAGTGGCCCTGAGTTTATCGATCTTTTGATAAAATGCGGGTTGGTGACGTCTCGCCGTGCCGTTTCTACCGTGCCTGCCACCGTTTTACTTTCGGCTCGTCGTTATGGGATCGAGCCACGAATGACTATCGTTTCGAGCGACGCTCTACATAGAGCACGTTACGTTAGCAGGCAAACTTCTCGTTATCCTCTCAGACAAGTTGCAATTTTCTTCACCGTATTGTGATTGAGCGATTTATAATTATAAACGGTTACACCGGTAGATATAGAGAATGTAATAAAAATATAATCTAAGCACACGCGTCTTATCATCGTAGCGGCAGATCTTTTTATTGTTAATGATTATCGAATTCGATCTATTGATATATAACATCTTGTCGTTTTCGTTGCTTACCATATTTTCTTCATGACCCGGAGCAGATTGGGCCATACTGTTCGCGGTTTCTTGCGAATCCATACTGATTTTTCCCTTGTGTACTCTTATGGAATATATCTCGACTCGCCTCAATATGGTTCCCCGTAAACCTGTTGCGTAAACATGTGACCAACTGCTCTTTATAAAGGTGCGCCTGATGCGCGCATAAACCAAGCGATCGACATCAATGCACCGCTACATAGTGAATGAATGTTGCAGCGTGTCGGATAACGTGACAACGAAGACTATCCTTATTGTGTGCCTTGTACATATTACTGGAGACACTGTACGCGTGATAAAAGCAGCGAGAGAAATATCGAACGTATGTTGGAAGAAAATATATTTTGCACCAAAAGGGAGCGGACTAATGGAAAGTACCCTCAATATAAAATTTCATGTCAAATAATAATTTTGCGTTTATTTTAGTTAATATATTATGAGTAAATTAAAATACATGTAGACAAATAGATTATATTATTTTATATAATAATATTTTATCGTATACAAATTGTGCAAAATGTTTGATGCCATTTAACGAAAAAATTAATTATTTTTTAATATAAAATAATAACAGAATATAAATATTAGTTATAATAATAGATTAATAAAATTTATCGATATAAAATTTTTATTAGAAACTAATGAGAAAAGATTATATAATACATTCTCTCTGCTATTGTATAATACATTCTATTTAGATTTTATCAGTTCGTTATTCCAGAGGAATTCCTGGAATATATGAGAGACAATATTTTTTTGCATATATATTTGTATATCATAATATAAGAATAATATCGAGAAAATTCTGGACGTTTAAGTACTATGAATAATTCATGGTCGAAATATGATATACTTGATAGTTCTATTAGTGCCTACTTTAATATGATCCTACAATGCGTGCAATGACAGTAACCTTCAATTATAAATTACCACGCGCTCTACGTGCCGAACAGGTATTACGTGTGTCGATCATAAGATTACAGTAATCAAACCGAGAACAATTACCAACAGTGTTTTACAAGCAAATATTCTACTAGTGAATATATAGATAGAGGTGTGCATTTAATTAGAGTATGCGTTTAATTAGATCATTCAATTTAACATTATAATAACAATATTAAGATAAAATATATATATATCGAACGATGAAAGTATGGAAATATATTTAGATTTATTTAAAACTCTGAAACGGAAAATATTTTGTTTGTTGTCCTTTGCTTCTTGATATTTGTTAAAAATTTGCGAAATATGCGGAACCGGCCGAAATCAGCTTTGTACTTAAAAACACTACAGTATTAAGGTATTAATGGCACAGCTACGATCGCGACAACCAAAATATCGAAATAAGAATATGTCTTATATAAAATTTTATCACACATATTAGAAAGAAAAATAGAATCCGAATAGGAATCTTTCGGACGTTGACTTTTGCTAACAAGTTCGAATGTTTGGGTTGTATGGTGCATCGCAGTTATCTGCGTACGATCATAAAGCCTGTTATGCTGAGTTTAAGGAGTGGGCAAAAGTGGCTTAAAATTGAATGTAAACGAGGGAAGACACGCGAACGATCATAATAGTGTCGAATAGCGAAACAGATCGTATTGTTGTAGGTCGCTGGCAATTCACCTTGAAAAATAACGTCACAAAATTATCGTGAAACGAGAAGTCTGTGTTCTACTATAACTAAACGAGCAACGTTCCTAAATTCCCAACAATTGGACGGGCCTAACGATCACCTTTTCCAATTATCGGGTCGAAAATGCATTGATCTTATTCATTTTTTTAGAATGTTGCAATTTACTCTGATCGCCCATTAATCATTGTGCTATAACATCATCGTACAATGTTAGTCTTGAATTTGCATTTGGACTTGGCATTGTAGTCCAGTAAAATAGTATCAAAAACACCGAATATCTACAAAACGGATAGACAAGCCAATTTTTTGAGGGTGAGTAGAAGGTCATAGGAGATGCCCGAATTCACAAAGTTCCAACAAAATTTCCCTGTGCGTCGGCGGCCATCTTCAAAATAGGGGTAAGTTTGGATATCTCGGCTCCTATTGGTCGAATCTTTTTCCTTTTTTTTAGTTTTGTAGGAAAAAGTATTTGCTACAACTTTTGTTTGAAAATTTTTTTAATAGCTGTCAAGGAAAGAAAGTTACAACCAAAAAAATGCCGTCAATTTGGGGTTGAACATTTTTATTGACAATTATATTGCCCCCTGTTAGTTTTATCAAAAAAATGTTCAAATAAAACTTGTAGAGGACTCACTTCTCTACAATTTTCGTATATCCGCTTTTGCGGTGACTCAAAAAAT